AACCCATTTTTACGATAATGATAAATTTTTGTATTAGCATTAAACCCCACAGAAAATATATTTATAAACATCAAAGTGAATGACTTAAAATTACAAATAGATCATTTTACATTAAGTTTAAGGACTTAAAATCAAAGACGTTCGCTAGTGCTTTGGGCGGTTCTGAAAATAAAAATAAATGTATACTAATCAATTATACACAATTACAAACATCTACAACTTTATAAAACTTAGTTATCGATAATATATTACATAATTGTTTAAAACTAGTATTATTTAATTTTCCTGTTTGTGCCAAAGACAAAGCCAACTTGAGTTCCCTAATGTAAGCCAGGTATCCATCAGAGCTGGGTGGACTCAGGGACTCAGGAATGTCAGGAATGTTTATGTGGGTAAAGCCACAACTAAATCAAACATTCTAGAGGGAATATAGTAATATGTATTTTTTTTATTTCAAAAAGACCATTTAAAAAGAATGCTTTAATTTATTTAATTTTGTAGTAAATGCAACGACCATTAGAGTATAGGCAGAACGGAAAATGATTTTTAATAGACACTTTTGTATTTAAATTGGATATGGTTTGACTAAAATGTGTATTACTTTAGTCTGTGTCCACTTTTAGCTTTTGAAAGTTTTTTTGTGTCTACATCAGGCCAACGTAATGTATTAACATTGAGAAATAAAGCGCCAGTTAGGCTACATGTACAACAGTTTATAAAAAAAAAGAAAACAATATTGATCTATTAGAAAAGATTTGGCGACATGCATAATTAAACCAATTAAAGTTTTTACTCAAAATACATATACAGTTGATACTGTAATAGATTTCAAGTCAACTAAACTGTCGATCGACAAAATGCTGCAAGTAGTTCAGTACATCTTATTTGCCTGATCTATTTTTAATCACAATACATTTTTTTCGGTCAGAATTATATATTGTTTTCAGCTAAAACAACATTGTCCAGGAAAGTTGACTTTTGTCTAGTACAGTCCATATGTAGTTCATCAAGTAAACAACATATTTATGCGTGACTACATTGTATAAGAGACAGTGGACTGTGAAATCGTCGATGGAAATATTGTTTCCGTTTGTGCTTCACCATAACCTATCGTCTGTATTTGATTTCACATTTCAAATGTAAACAAGACAGGTCTGTAGTTATTTCCACGACACGGATGTGAAGACCTCGGATGTATGTTGCAAGTATGTTAGCTCAAAAAACGTCCTACTTTTTACTTTCTCGTATATACGAAGTATAGAGAAAGTCTTGTAATCGTGCAAAAAAAAATTAGAGATTTTTACAAATCTCGACGTTTTACATCTCACTGATACGGAAAACCAAAATTTTGCAATCTTGTCCGTATGTCTGTGTGTCTGTCTGTCTGTCTGTCTGTATGTGTGTGTGTAAACACGATAACTTGAGTACCGTTACAGCTAGGTTGATGCAATTTCATATATAAGTATTTTATCAAAATCGTAGATTCGTGTCAACTTTTGAGCGATTTCCGATAACCGAAAGTGGTACTTTTTCTACTTTGAATTTTTCAAAAGCCTATAACTTGAGTACTATTTTAGATAGATAAATGAAATTTCACATGTAAGTAAAAGATCTAATTCTCTACCTTCTGTCAAGTTTTGAGTAATTTCCGTTGAACGGAAGTAGTAATTTACGCTATTTCCGATTTCTCAGAAAACGCATGTGAATTTATATTATAAAGTACTAATAAAATTGCGCACTATTATGCACATCTTTATTTGGCATTCACTTGGTGTGCATTTTTTTGTCTACGAGATTTTATTCTATTTTTAAAACGTTAAGTATTTAAAATGGATTAAAAATCATGTCTATAGCCCGAGTTCCAATCCCCTGTTATTTAATATAAGAATATTCGAGAAAGTTTTGGGGCGATCACTCCCGGTTTATTAGTTTAGATTTCGGTATCGCTTGTCAGCTGAAATGACATTTCCAGTGACATTGACTTATGTTTTATGCGGTCCAGTCCATATGGAGACCATCTTGGAAACGTCACATTGTTGGGTGACTACAATGTAGAATAGACAGTAAACTGTGATTCTATTTATTGAAGCTTAACCTACACTAATCGTCTGTATTTGACTCAATGCCCCAAATTTAAACAAAGCATTTCTGTAGTTTTATTAACGCCACGAATGTGACGATATCGAAAGTGTGAAGTATCTTAGTACCACGTTTGTTTGTTATTTTTTTGACTACTTTTACATACACTACGAGTTTACTTCCCATTGTAACAAATCATTGTTATCAAGGGAAGGAACCTATAAAATAAAACAAAATGGTCAAATTTTTATGCTTAGTAAAACACTTGAATTATAAATGTAAATGCTATTATATTATTTCTAAGAAGATAATATTTATTATTGGCAAATGGAATCAATTTTATGTCTGTTAAAAAAGGTCATGTATTTTTTTTTCCATTCTGCTTTTAAATCAAAACATTAGCTATAATAAGTGCCCAACGTATAGACGCATGATTATTCAGATTAAATATACATTGCACTCTCTATTGATATTTATTTATATATTTAATTTCTGTTATAAACTATCGCTGTTATGGATATTCAATTTGTAGACGTTTTATTTATTCGGATTAATCTATAATAAAAGTCCACTGTTCGTCAATGTGTTAACAAATTATTCGTCAGCCTTACCAAGTAAAAACATGTGTAGATACAAACAACCTTATGTACGTAACTGATATGTTATACAAAAATGAAATAGCTTTTAAACGAGAAACAAAAAAAACATATGTTTTTACACGTCGGGACTGTATCGTTTTTTCAGCTATTATTTCGTTTATTTCATCTTGTAAGGTCTCAATAGTGTTGGAGGGCAAGAGACGACGAGATTTCATTAAAACTCAGCACACATGTTTACAATATTACATGTATTGTGAAAGATTTAACAATTGTTGTATACTGTTAAATGTGATAAACTTTATATGCTCCTCTTATAGCCATATAGTATGCCGCCATGATAGTAGGTGAAACACTGTTGAAATTATTTTGTTTCCTTGTAATTCAGTATTTGAATACATTTGAATAGGGTGTCCATTCAATATATTTTATTATTGTTCTAAAGTTATAGTTATTTCTACGAGCAACTTTCCCTAACTTTAATCAGGTACTCATAATAATTGGGTGGACTCAGGGACAATATACCGACCCGACTCGATTCCCGATTCGAACTCGAGACTTTTAGGTTAGAAGCAATAAACTTTACCGTTCGACCTTAACATCTCATGTTAATTACCTAATTAAGTATTCCTTATACTGTATTACAATGATAACTATCTATAAAGTTTTACTTGAGACAAAGTCAGGGGGATATGTGTTGAAGCCAAGTGATAAACTTTTTATTCTCCTCTTATAGTGTGCCGCCTTGATATTAGGTAAAGTATTATTATTTTGTTCTGCTGTAATTTTGTACTAATTAAACAATAAGTATGCATACAAATATTTTAACTAAATAGATTTTCAACCCATGCCAGCACATTGTGTATATAGACAAACAAGTTATATAAAAAGGTTTAACACATTATTTACTAATGGATTAAAAAACAAGAACATTTAGTATAGTCTAATATGATCGCAGAAACATATCAGTCTTCATATTTAAAACACGTTTATTTGAAGCACTAGCATAGTACTTTGTATTACACAATATACAAACATATTTTTCCTTATTGTCGAATTGCCGCCTCACTTGATCGTTTAAAGCGCCACTGTCAGCCTGGTATAAAACACAACTGACAAGGTAGAGGCCATCAACTGGTGCAGTGAAGATGCTTGTATTTGGGTCGTAATGACCTGAGTTATGGCCTGGTATAAAACAAAACTGACAAGGTAGAGGCCATCAACTGGTGCAGTGAAGATGTTTGTATTTGGGTCGTAATGACCTGAGTTTTGGCCTGGTATAAAACAAAACTGACAAGGTAGAGGCCATCAACTGTTGCAGTGAAGATGCTTGTATTTGGGTCGTAATGACCTGAGTTATGGCCAACGACTGGACATACAATAATTAGTGAGCTGCCATCCTCACTGTTATAAGCAGTGAATCATGTACTGCAACTGTGATTCTTTTCACAACTTGTTTTATTTATTTTCGCAGCCATGTTCGAATATTCTTTAGTTAAGCTTTTCATTATTGGTTTCTCTTTGAGCTATTGTTTTGGTAAAAGTTTCCTTCAACTTTTTTATTGGACCATTATATCAGCAATTCGCAGGTCATCTCATTATTTTAATTTAATTGTTTAAGTTCTCCAGTTAAATAAATATTATTTGTTCTTGTAAATTATGAATTGTTTTATATGTTTCTTATGTTAGATCTTCAATTGATATAGCAAGCAATGAAAAATATATAATTGTTTGTTAAACATCCTAATTTATAAAAGGCCATGTGCGCTCTTCTCTCTCTCTCTCTCTCTGTCTGTCCGCAAAATATTTTCGCCGGACATCACGTCAGAAACGGCAGCGATATATGCAGAACTTTATACGGACTTTTGTTGAAAATAATATGTTAGATGTTTTAAATGTATAACCACAATTTTAGTTAAAGAAGAAAAATAAAAATTAAAGGCGTATTCGAATGTAGAGAAACAGTATTATTTATGCAACCGGAAAAGCATTAATATATGTGAAAAAGAACGCATAAAACTGTGACGTCACTATTGCTTATACATTAACTAATGACGTCATCTGCCGTGTTTAGAATGAAAAGAAATGAACTATTTCATTCAAATTTGATTTAGATCTACGTACACTATGAAATGTATACAATACAATTTTTCTGGCCTAAACTCATAAAATTTATTTTATGTATTTGGATTCTAGATCTAGAGATTCTAGATCTAGACTAAATCTAAATCTAAATCTACGCAATAACTAGATCTATACGTAGACGCTAAGATCTAGATTTAGACTCTAACTTCTCTAAAATCAATTCCAAAAATAACTCCCACCCAACGATTGATTGGTTTATGTCCCATTATTGTCATGTGACTTTGAGGTCATAAAAATGGTGATAAACATGTTTTTTTTCAAGCACAATAGCATTTTATATCAAAATAAATGATGAATTAATCATAATCTGCAAAAAAATATTATTAATTTTAAACTTATTATATATTTTCGAGTACGAAAATTAATGCTATCGCGTGATCGGCGAGACGCCGCCATCTTGCCGACTTTGCATTCATCCTCGGTCAGACCTCATGGAAAATGGAATTAGATTCTAATTATCTGCGTGAAAATGATTTAGATTCAAGTAACGAAGAAGTGTAAGACCTTACTGATGTCCTAGACACTGGAGATAATGAAAATACAGTTTTGAACACTATTTTGAACTCTTTCTCTACACATCGTAAGTAACTCAGTTTTTATCGTTTTTTTCCTACTAATTTTTTGGCGATTTTTATAAATTTTTCTTTTTAATGATATTAATTAGATATAAATGTGTAGTTAAAAGAACACTTCAATCATTTTACTATGTAACTAGCCTAGTTTCAGTTCATAGTATATGACAATTATTAAATAATAGTAGTATTGGTAGCAGTACTGTCTACCGTCTAGAATGTAAACACAAATCAGCTGATCTTACATGACTGTAATAAAAACTCAGTTTTCTTTTGTTACAAACAGTACTAACTTATTATAAATCACCTAACATTTATGATGAAATTATTATATGTGAAAATATTAAATAGAATCCATAATTTAAATATTTACCATTTTTTCTTTTCAACAGAACTGAGAATTTATAAAGGAAAAAAAGGAGTGAATGGGTATCCCTTATCAACTGGGACTGTTACCTCCTGAGAAAGAACCAGGAATTCAGCTGGCTGAGATGAGGACAGGAGACAGTACAATGAAGTATATGTTTACTCAAACCTATTGTGTTTGTAAACTCTACAGTGGATATTGTGACATACATTATGTCAATTTACCAATGGATATGTAAAGCGACGCAGATCACCTATCTGTCTCGGGATGGTTTAATTCGACACCTGATTAAATCTTACAGGTTTTATGGACTTATAATACGTTCTGGGGATTATCAACACTCATTTTGACAGATTCTGAAGCAAGAATTTACTCTATGCTCTACAATGGACTGCGGCTCAAGTTTTCATATCACGCTATTGCTTCAAAGGTGTCGTGCTTTTTTAAAGATGTACTATCAAGATACTGAACATACAGAGGACATATTATACAAATAATGCTCCCAACTTACATCAAAATTAAGTGCAGTAAATTGTTGTAGCTTTATATATTTCCATAGATAAGACAAAGGTTAGAAAGAATATTTTTCTTGACAATACATTATCATGCTTATGATTGTGGATAAGCCAACAGTAGGGTATGCAATTATGAGCTTTTGGCTGATCACTGACAGGTTACACATATGGTTTTGTTTTTTTATATTTTATTATTCTGGTCAGTGGGCCAGATGGGTTAGCTTATGTGGTGGATAGAAGTGATCAGTTAATAAAACTGTAATGTCCTTCGGTAAACAATTAAGTACTAGTAGTGTACTAGAACTAAATTTTTTTCACCTTTGAGATATAACTAAAGTTAATTTCTGTATTTTACTTCAAGATTATTGAGAAAAGAATCCAGATATCTTAGGAAAAAAAATTCCAACATGGTATTGCCAATTACACTCTTTAAAAGTTAGTTGGAAAGTTAGGTAATATTTCACTTAACCATACTGTTTCTTTGGCTTGTAAGCCACCATTATTTTCCAACCATTCTATGAACCATACTATATCAGATTAGAATGAGGATTTTAAATTGTTATTGTATTGATAAAACAATATTAAAATATAAGTTAAGTGTAGATAAGTGTATATGATACACTTTATGTTTACAAAAAGAAGGAAATTGTTTGTTTAGTTATCATGTGTGTTCGCATTATTTATTAATTGAAGATCATTAAAAGCATCTGTTTTAATGTAATAAGAAGCACTGTAGATATTACAATTTGATTATTTCATTACATTGACTTATGTGTGTGTTTGATTACATGTTAACCTATGTTTGCCACTTTTAGAGTAAAAATGTTTGCGGAGAGGTCCAAATCATGTAAAGATCATCATAAGATCAATTAATTTGTGAAAAATCCATTTCTTGGCACAGTGCATTCAAAATTGTCACATTTATGCATATATGGATGTAAGTCAATAAAATATACATATTAACTCAATAGCTCTTATCAATTATTTTTTTGCTTCTTAGGAACTGTTGATTTTAAAGTTTTTAATTATTTTTTTAAAATTAAACCATCAGATTTTAGGCTACAAAACTAAAACCAATTGTTAACACCTAAAAACTCTTCAGTAATATTAAAGACAAATCAAATACCTACACAATGATATATAACACATGTGTGTGCTGATGTTTAATCTATACTTATGGTCAAAAGTTACAAGCATACTGCCGAACACTGAAAATATCACTAAAACCCTCAGTCTGTTAAGAGATAAATTTCTATATTAGGTCTAAACTATTTCAAGACTTATTTATTTTATACAAAATCTCTGTTTGGAACTGGCTAATTTGGGATAAAAAAATTAATTTGAAAAAATAGGCATATTCGCGTAAGTTAAGATTTTAAAATACGTGTTTCATTCTCCGTACATTATAAGGTGCCTAAATAGCGGAGATGTTAGTGTACATTAAACCACGCAGGTGGTGCGGGTTCGAGACACACCAAGTCAACATGGTTAATGTATTTTTTTTTATTATGCTCGGCTAAACTTAAAAAAAAAAATCTTTTAGGAATCTAGATCTAGATCTAGATTGTCGGGTGTCCGATAGGGCACTTCCCGGCGCCGCAGGCACTTCAAATTTGGCAGGACCTTGCCTTGGGGCGACAGAACACGGGGGCCGGTTGGCCTAAAAGTCTACGATGAGGGGGTCAAAACTGACATCGACTGACCGGTACCTTATATGAGCTATAAATTTTAAAAAAATGTCCACGGAGGAACCTCTTCATAGCTCTTGAGGTCGTAGACCGACCCTCGGGCGAATTAATTAAGCATTCAAATTCTCAATGTTTTCGAAAGCCTAAGCGAAGCTGGGCAGCATGCCTAGTACATTATATTAACTTATTTTCCATTTTTGTTTTAATACATTATCTAGGAAATTAGGCTTTCATATCTTAAAACAGTAGAAGCGTTGTAAGAAAATGTAAACAGTTAGCCCTTATGTCTTTTTTCTATAGTGATGTGGTTATGCTGCTGTTATTTCCCAGTTTCGCGCATAGTATGTGAATGTCACGTACCAGTCGTTTAGAAACTGCATTTGTCATTTGTGGGGGAAAAAAATAAAACAAACCGTGTTGGTTACTTCCCATTTTTCTAGTCAAATATAATACAAGGGATGCTACCTTAAAGTTGTTTACGATTGTGAATAAATTGAAATACCTTTTGATGCTGAAATACCCCCCCCCCCTGATGCTAAAGAACCATGCCCTTAATCACAAACTCCAACCATATATCTAACCCTAACACCGTAACATTAGCCCTAACCTAACCCTAGTCCCAATTTATTCATAATTAGACATTGGGTAATTGCTCTGAGGTGGAAATATCGGGTGGGGGGAAGGGGGTGTATGTCCGAGTGGTAATTATCACTATTAACGCTCCCTATAAGGGGGGAAATCTAGTGTGCATCGTCTATTTTTTGTGCGGGGTGTTCTAAAAGTCATATACAAGATTACATGTATTTTACGAAATGACAGCGCGGCATGTTAAAAAATACTGATCGGCTGCGCGACCATGCAGATGATAGGGAATATTTAGTCTATATAGCAAGTGAGATTGGCGATGTATACAATGTAAGCAAAATAGAATGACTAGAATGAGGTGTAGGCTTTAACACTGGTGATAATCTGTTCTGGGACTTGACATGTCATTCAATTATATCTTTTCCCACTTTTATCGAAATTTTTCTTTAGAAAACTAACATCTTTTTTCATCAAAAAAGTAAGTTGTTTTCATCGTCATTATAGTCTATAAGCAGTATTTGTTCAGTATTTTGTTCAGTGATTGTAAATAAAAGCTCTGCCCCTATGTGCATTCAACTGCCAAAACACAAGCTTAGCGACATTGTAAAAAAAGTTAGATCCCTTCCGGACCGTAGGGACATATATGTCCAAGCAAAACAAATTACTCTTTTAAACTATTAGGAAAAAAACATGTAAATATCATACGTCATAAGTAAACCTTTAAAAAAACCTCCAGTTATTTATATCTGTTACATTTAGTATTTATTATATAAAATTGTAAACTGTAGCCTTGCGAATGGTCCTAAAGTGGAAAGTTTCCAGAAATATGACAACAAAACTATCTCATATATACTGAAAACAGCCGTATGTAGATTAAGTCTATCAAGTAATAATTGTTTTAAAGCAAATGCAACAACCCTATGTTATTCCAATTTCTTTTTGCGATAATTTTAAAATTTGGGACGCCGGTGATTCTTGGTCCTCAAAGGGTTTAATGTCATTGTATTGCAATAATCTCACAACTTTACAAAACCATTATGCCCTACATTCTGTATTTCTTATCCCAAACACACTGTAACAAAGTTGCCGTGTGTTTGTAAACCTACATAAAATGTTTTGTTTTTAAGCTTGTGTTTTTTTTATTGTAGGTGTGAAAAAACCATTTAACACTGTGCTAGTTACTTCCCATGTACACAATAAAAAATGCCAAGGTATGCTACCTGGAAATCCAATATAATCTATTAATGAGTACTAAAAAAAATAATTTTTATTTACAAATCATGACAACAAAGGCCTGAGTAAAAATATTATTTTTATTATAAAAATAATGTACTTATGTATGTACACATGATACATTTTAAAAAAATATTCGTATGCTTTAATTAAAGTAAAACAATGGGAATATCTCTTAAACAATCTGTACATATCTAATTATTCATATTAATTCGCGGTCAGTGGGCATTTAAAGGTCTTTATTTCTACAATATGTTTTGCATTTTCAGTTTCAGGTTGGTTTTTAATTTTTATTTTTTCTTTATATTTAGACGTTTTGTATTAGATCGATGTATAAGTAAACCATCTTAAATGAATGAAAGCAGGCTACAAGCAAGAAAGAAATATTACTTTTGTAAATCTGTATCAGTCCTCACAAGCCGATGATGAAAACTGTAATACTAAAGCAAACACAACTACTGACGCTATAAATTACGTGTCTGAGGCAAAAAAAAAAAAAAAAAGTATGCAATAACATAATTAAAAACCCAAAGCAATATAAATATCTTACCGGCCATACTACGAAAAAAAAGGCCTGCCAACACTGGTATTCTACACAACACTGGACAAACCAACAATGAAACTAACCACACACCAACCCACCTCAACAGGTAATCTCAACTAACATCGCAAACAACAACAGTGAATACAATTACGTCACAGCTTGACACCACAAGCCTCAAACATAACAACTGAACAGCAACCACAGCTAACACCACCACACCAGACGTACCTCATATCAAGGTGTTTCTTGGTCCTCAAAGGGTTTAATGTCATTGTATTGCAATAATCTCACAACTTTACAAAACCATTATGCCCTACATTCTGTATTTCTTATCCCAAACACAATGTAACAATGTTGCCCTGTGTTTGTAAACCTACATAAAATGTTTTGTTTTTAAGCTTGTGTTTTTTTTTATTGTAGGTGTGAAAAAACCATTTAACACTGTGCTTGTTACGTCCCATGTACACATTAAAAAATGCCAAGGAATGCTACCTGGAAATCCAATATAATCTATTAATGAGTACTGAAAAAAAAAAATATTTACAAATTATGACAACAAAGGCCTGAGTAAAAATATTATTTTTATTATAAAAATAATGTACTTATGTATGTACACATGATACATTTCAAAAAAAAATATTCGTATGCTTTAATTAAAGTAAAACAATGGGAATATCTCTTAAACAATCTGTACATATGTAATTATTCATATTAATTCGCGTTCAGTAGGCATTTAAAGGTCTTTATTTCTACAATATGTATGCAATAACAAAATTAAAAACCCAAATCAATATAAATATCTTACCGGCCATAATACGAAAAAAAAGCCTGCCAACACTGGTATTCTACACAACACTGGACAAACCAACAATGAAACTAACCACACACCAACCCACCTCATCAGGTAATCTTAACAGCTCAACTAACATCACAAACAATAACAGGGAATGCAATTACGTCACAGATTGACACCACAAGCCCCAAACATAGCAACTGATCAGCAACCACAGCTGACACCACCACACCAGACGTACCTCATACCAAGGCCACACAACCAAAGATTGCTACAAAATAGCGAAATTAAATATAAACAACATACGATGATATAATGCTATAAAACAATGAATTACAACAGGCAATACCATTATGCAACAACAGCATGCAAAAACAAATGCAACAATAAAATGCTTCGACAATATGCATTTACAGCAGGGGTCTCCAAACTACGGCCCGCGGGCCGGATGCGGCCCGCGATGTCCCCTCATCCGGCCCGCGGAGAATTTTTTGTCCACGGAAAAAATGTTTGTTACTGATGGCTGAGGAAATTTGCCTAGAAAAATCAAAGACATTTCTGGAAGAAACTGGACCCCGAACTGAAATTTAATATTTAATGCGGCCATCGGACTGAAAAGTTTGGAGACCCCTGATTTACAGCATGCAAAATTGAATCAGCAAAATACACATCCAATAAAAACATGTAATGACGAACATATTTGTACCGCAATTACAACATGCAGTAACATAATGTT